ACTTGGACAGAAGAGATACATTCAGCTTCATTTGGTTGAGCGAGTGTCTCTCAAGATCAGCTGCCAGTGCATTGACCTGCAAAACAACACCGACATCATGGATTGATACAAGAGCAACACAGCCAAAAACTGCAACAAGAGCAAAGCAAAGAGTCGTCAGTTGAGCTGAACAGATAACTGATCATAATAGACACCCTTAGCAAAAAACGTTATGTTGTAACGGTATTATTGTAAGGGGAAAAATACCGTTATTTGGGTTCGACCTTAAGCAAAGTGCACGCTATTTTTAGTACGCTGTTGCCACAAGAATAAATTTTATTTCGCGCGGTACAACCATTTATGTCACCGTATACGCGATACAACGTGAAATGCGTACGGACTATGCAATAATTGGCCAAAAAACGTACCTTTCGTCACAACAATAAATCAGCCCCCATAACGTTTTTACGCTGCAGCTTCAACGCAAAATGGGTGATCAAGGTAAGAGTACCGTAAAAACTAGCGTTACCGTTGTTTGCTAAGGGTGTCTGATGCACTGTTGACCCGCCCTGTCTCAAAACTACCACCTCTAGCCGATTCTCTATCTGTGAAGCAACTTTTGCATGATTTATCATCAGAGCAATGATTTGTGCCTGTGTGCAATTTATATAATTATGTGTATGTAATTGTAGACAAGAAGCTTGGTGCGAACATATGCCTGTGGAAGAGTTCATGGAGAATGGATGAACGCCTGTACTGTGCGGCATGCAATATGGGAAGAAGGGCACTTCACACTTGACCGCATCCGAATGATACACCGTGTCATAGTGTTGTAATAAGCCTCAATGTACCAGACTGTCTTGATCTCTTTCCCATGCCCTGCAGTAAAGCCAACTGGTAGGTGAGTGAGTTGGCATGGACAGACCGGGGATTACCAGTACTTGTTCTCAGGAAGTATGCACACTAGCATGTATATCCAACACTCCTGTACTCCTGCACTCCTGCACTACTGCAAGTGTGTTCTGCAGGTCATCCAGCACAGCTCATTTTAACCAGATCTGCCTATTCTGTTTCGTGCATCTTGTCTTATCTCTCGGTAGGTTCTTCTTGTTGTCATTGTCCTTAATTTCGTGAACCAGTTAACTACAGAACCAGGTCTCTCCTCGACAAGTTGTCACGGCAGCTGCTGGCCAGCTATCTGCGGCTGTGTGTGTCTATGTGTGTGTGTGTGTGTGTGTGTGTGTGTGTGTGTGTGTGTGTGCGTATGCTCGCGCGCGCGCGCGCGCGTGTGTGTGTGTGTCCTTCACGACAACTGTAGAGGAATTACCTTCGCATTGAGGCTACCTGAGCTTCGCTGGATTACGGTCAATTGACCCTGGAAAGATCTAATTCTTGCTAGTATACGACCATCGACTTGGGCAAGTTGAGAGACAGTGAGCCCCTCATTACTGGCAGCAGCATTGTTAGAAGGCTGTAAAAGCATACAAACAGTAGCAGTGAGGTTTTTGAATGTCACATGATTCAATAATTCAACTACTGCACTCAAATATATCACTATCATTGTGAGCCGCTGTGAATATAACTGCGCTGATCCAACACCAATTATTGATAGCAGGCAGGACAGGTATAACTGAGAACATAATATTATTTCTAAGCTTTAGCCATCTATAATGCAATACCCAGGCCTTCATGACACACACATGAGGTGGCTGCATGACTGGAACATACATGCATGGCTCCAACAGTGTTGAAAGCTTGATGGCTACGTGGGTAACCATTGAAACTGCACTCCGCAGAACTAAGAAATATCACTTCAGTAAGCTTGCTTACCGTCGTCTCACTCATTTGCACTTGAGGTCTTGTTGAGTTTAGTCGTTCCTCAACCGAATTGACCTTAATGTACATACACACACGCCATATCAAACTGTATATTCCTGGACTATTTCCGCTGACCACACCCTTGAAGACCTGGAAAGTTGAAACAGTCCCTCATTCATTAGGCCATTTGAAAAATTAAAACATCCTCATGCACAAGCACTAACTATCAACCCTTCAGAGAATAGCATCGCTACCCACAAGCTCCCCTCGTCTTTGTGGTCCACTTCACAACAATAACACACACAGAAGTCTCTGCTGTGAGCACGGTGGCTCGGCAATGGCGAAGTACTGCACCAACGAAAAGCCACTGCGAAGTGACAGGAATGCGGTCCAGCACAACATTTTTGCGGACGCAAAAAGTTGTGGGGAAATCCCAAAATCGGTGCGATTTTGCATGAGCCCAAATGTTCAGGTTACCCACAAAGACACAAGCTTTCCAACTCTCTTTGGCCGTTGGAAAGCGTACCGTAATGGCCTACCGTACACTCTATTCTGCAGGATTGGAATGTACACATGATAAGGACCTTTCTAAAACACGGCGGATGCGGAAAACTCGGCTTCCAGCCGAGTCTCACGCAAACCGTGAAATTTATTTATTTATTTTTAAAACACGGAAACAGCACTGATACGTATAGTGCTAAGTGACAGAAACAAGATGAAGAATGGAGGAGTAACAGGCATTGCCATGCAGTACAAGAATGGAGGAGTAACAGGCATCGCCATGCATTACAAATGACACAAATAGGGCATCACCAGACAACCTTACTGTGCTAAACTTACTGTGCTCCTGAGAGAAGTCAGTTCATTAGACCAAGACAGCAAATCTTGTACAACAGTGATGAAGGACTGCTGAGTCTGATATTGCAGTGAGCACCAGCAACAACAACAACAACAACAACACACACACACACACACACACACACACACACACGCACAAAACACATCAGTGAGCACAATCCTCACTGACCGTACACATCAAAATGATAGTGAACACACACAATACTGTAAGATCTGCAGCAGTGTCTGCTCTAGGATTTCAAACCAACCGGGTACACGTGTACCTGGCACACCTCTTGCAATCGAGTCAGTCCCGGGTACATGTTCATTCAAGTCCGGCCATGATTGTACATCAAGGAGTCTTAGGACTTCCTGATTGAGTCCCAACCGGGTCACAAGCGACCCGGTGTTCTTTTTCCAAGCGGGTCCACGTACCCCTTCCCCCAACCAGGTCGCTGGCCCGGCTGACCCGGCTCTGGAGCACACACCGATGCAGATCAAGCTTACACACACAAGCCAGTATTACATCCCAGATCAAGTTCAATCACATGTAGGCTGTTACTAATTATTTGCACATGTAAATTCAATATCATACGTGTGTGATGATACAAGACTAATTACCTCCTTTTCTTGCTCAATAACTTCTTGCTGGACTTGACTGACTGCCTCTGTCAATGGCTGCAGTCTTGTACTCACAAGGCGACTTAACTCCTCTTGCTGACCTGCCGTCAACGAATCAGACATTCTCTCCAGCGTGGCCACCTGGGCAATAGAGAATGTAGAAACTCATTTTCGAAATCCATGATAGCCAAATCCCAAGCCTCATCAATGTTTACAGTATTTTCTGCTGCTACAGATATAATAGTGTTAGGATAGATTGCTTACACGGCCTGTAAGGTTCTGAACCGATCGTTCCGCTCCCTACAGAAGAAAAGGGGATAATAATAACAATACAGCAGATTACAATGCCATCCATATCACTTATAGTTATACCATGTGCATTACCCTCCTGAACAAGGTTGGATCCACCTTCAAGCAAGCCGCTGAGGCTCTAGGGACGGATCGTTTCCTTAAGTTGCACTACATTTGCTGAGCTTTTTTTCAGTTTCCAATCACATCCTGGTTCCAATCACATCCTGGTTCCAATCACATCCTGGTTGATTTCAAACCCTACTTTAAAAAGCAGGGTTGGATGTTGCAAAGACTCTGCTTACTACACCATGAATACATTTTAAACGTCTTTGTGCTCCGTCCGTACAACACAGCAACAACGCAGCAAACAACAAGAGAGTTGCATAGCCAGTGGCTGGCAATGGCTGGCAATGGCGAAGTAGCAAAGTGTTATGGTCACAAGTTATCAGGTGTTTGTTTGCTGCACAAACATCCTATATAAAGTGGCATGGATGTACCTGGGCTTGATTAGAAACCACCTGCAACAACCGGCGCACTTCACTGCTTTGCCTTGCATTCAAACCTGCCCTTGACAACCTTCGCACCTGAACACAAGACAAGAAACAAACAAAAACTGTTACAACTTGCATACATACATCGGTAATCAAATCTCCCGTCAGGATTCACTAAACTTGCGTTCCTCAATTCACGAATAGGTCAGACATGTGATGCAATGGAACTCACATGCCTGACCTGGATAAGACTAAGCAATACTGACATTGGCCATGGAAACTGCAGTGGGCTATCATCCCTAGAACTATCAAATATTGGACGAAAAAATGCTACACCATGTTGGACACCATTGTGAATAATGTACATGTACGCCTGCCACTGATAAGACCGAAAGGAAAAGAAAAGGAAATAGAGCAATATAATATTTCAATGTAAAAAGAACCAGGTGGAAAGCAGTGCCCATGCCTCACCTCTAGTTCAAGGTTAGATAACTGTGTTTCGATAGCACTGCCTGCTGTTTGGCCAGCTGTGCGGGGTTCATCCGGCATTGAGCTTGTTTCCTGACCTTCAGCCTGTAATGTACATATAGCATAGTGGTGCAGTGTGTAATGTAGCATCGCATGTACCAGTGCAATGTCACGCATGCGTCTCTATTATCCGACTTGGTAGGGCATGTGCACCCCACAGTCACAACTCGTCTGAACACCATAGGCAACCAAAGAAGTGTGCAACAGAGCACGGTAATGCCTTGCTGCAGGTATTCTGTGAATACGCGTAGGTGTGACATCTACATCATGACCAGTGCGGTTGCGTTGCTACTGAAAAATCAAGGAATGACACCCATCAATTTGATACTGACAGCAACAAATACAGCATCGTTAGGAGCACAGCAGTGTCACATGACCCATAGAGGTCTAACTGTACACAACAAAAAATTCTTCCATTGACCTACCATATTTAGCGGGGACTCATCGTCATCTTCTTCAGCCATGGCAGAACTCATGACATACTCCCGGAGACTCTCTTGATGCTGAGCCAACTATCCGTATCACACACACACCAGGAAAAACAAAGCAATCTCTATCTTTCTAGGACTACAAAAAGACATTACCTGCAGCAATGAACTGGACCTCATTCGTGCACTTTTAAAATAATCTAGAGGAATATAGTCGGCAATGTTTTGGTTCGGGGGGGGGGGGGGGAGGGGGTGCACAGATATTACGGATGATAACATAGAACCAACACACTTTGTCCTATGTTGAATCTTGTTTGCTTTGCTTAGCACTGTTTTCTTATGCCCGCATTCCCGGCATGAATAGTACACAGAATTGCTATCGGTATTATCAAGTAATAGAAGTATTAACAACATACTTTAGTCCCTGCACCCGTAAACATGCAAGCACCTCCAAGTGCACCCGCACGCCCAGCTTGGGCACTCGTGCACCCACGCAGACAGACACAAGCGCACACATGCACGCACACGCCACTGGCGTACCCATGCTCTGACACGCAGACACCCGCACAACGTACCACTCACTATAGCGTGCACAAACATACAATAGACACATTGGGTTGGGGGTTGCCATGATTTCTTTTGGACAATTCAAATATTCAAGAATATGCTCTTTGATAATAATTGATTGAGTAAAGATGCATGCCTGAAACTAGCATCCGCCCGCCAAGGGCGCACAAATGGCCACCGCGGCCCGCAACTGCCCGCCGGGGGCTAAACTAGCCTACTGCCCACCGAGGACGCACAAACAGCCGCCGCGGCCAGCAAACCGCCCGCCGAGGGCTAAACTTGCATATTGCCCACCGAGGGCGCTCAAATGGCCGCCACGGCCAGCAAACCGCCCGTCGAGGGCTAAACCATCGAGGGTGCGCAAATTGCCACCGCGGCCAGCAAACTGCCCACCGTGGGCCGATATCATCTTGCCCGCCGAGGGCACACAAACGGCCACCGCGGCCAGCCAATAGATGGTATGCCAAATAACGTGCAACTTGACTTGAGAGGGCATCGCACACAAGTTGCATACAAATTATACTACAATGTGTACACGGTAGGCCCTGAGCTCTGCAGGAATACAAGTCACAGGTACCCGTACAACTTTGAACTTCGTAAGCAACTACTCTGCAATGCCCTCCCAAGTCTAGTTGCGCGTTATTTGGCATATTATCTATTGCCCACCGAGGGCTCACACGACTGCCTGGCATCAGGCGTCACAACATACAGACATAATAGGAGGCCCGTTTCCCCCCCCCCCCCCCCAACCGGAGAAACAAAGTGCCACTTCAAAAGGGGTGGGAGGGAGGGAAAAACTTTGAGTTGACACAGAAACTGCAACCGCAAAGAACGCTCCTTCGCACAAAGACAGCTCAGCAAAACACGTCTCCAAATAATTAGACGCCGCATCCAGGATTGTCCATAAAATTTTGCCAGGCCACACGCTGCGCACGCGGCTTAGTCACGAGGTGGTTATGTGGCACGCACTCGCAGCACTCCACCACCAGCATGCGTGTGCATGGGCTAACTAGGCTTTGCTGCGCAAAGCCCACATATTGGAGTACTGCCAATGACAGAGCAGCACGTACCCTTATCCATAAGCAACACTAAGTTGTCATTGAAGGATACCAATATCTGTACACATAGGACCTGCCTCCTCTCACCAATATCTGTACACATAGGACCTGCCTCTCACCTCTGCAATCCTATTGGTTAGTGGCTGAACCAGTTTACTGGCAGCAGCTGCTGCTAGCTCCTCAATTCTTGCCTCTTGGGTAATGCTAAACTGCATGTCCACCGGTGGTGTCTGCAAGAAAAGGGGTGAAAATGTTGGCTTAGCTCGGGTCAATTATTGTAGGCATTTCCAACAGACCACATATACATAACAACATGGATATCTGGTAGCCTGCGCACTATCAGGTATGTGCATTGTAGTCATGCATTGCATTCTGCACAGTGCAACAATCTATTGCTGCACCGGGAAAGTTTACGGGTGACTCCTGACCTTCTCTCTTTCTTCCTATTTTCTCTCTCTCGCCCTCTCTCTCTCTTTTACACACACACACGTGCGCGCGCACGCACACATGTGCACTCACACAACAAATGTATTACCTCCCGGCTCTTGGCACCGACTTTGGAAGCAGGAGCATACAAGACACAGACTAGTTGTTTACAAGTCATTTCAAGTGAATTAAGGTTTACCAGCCACCAGGCACAGCCAATTCCACCAAAGTCAAGGACTAGCAAAGACAAATGTTCACTGGAGGCAAACTCTCAACAAGGTGTGTAATTTACTAAAGGAAAGTCATTACTAGTATGTCTCTTGCAAGCTGCCTCTACTGGAACCGGAGACTTATTTAACAATGCGAAAGCTGGTTCTGGTTAAAATGAAGCTACCTTTTGAAATGAGAACCTTACAAGCTTGAAATGGACCTAAATTCACACCTCGGTACAAGTAATGCTACGCTTGTTACACTAAAACTAGCAGGTCGGCGATGATCACACCTTGTGCTAGAAACAAGACACCCTATGCAGTGAGAGGAGCTAATACAGAACTTCTCACTCATCCTTCGCAGCCTCATGTTTTAGCTTGTGTGCCTGTAGACTACTCGCCTACAGGCTGCCACAAACTAGTCACCTTTTCAAAAGCATGTATCACCAGGTGACCTGACTTCAGTCTGAGGTCAGATCCACTAAGTTGTGTTTGACTTACAGGTGAGGGAGTCTGCTGGTTTAGGGTTGATAACTGTGCTTCCAGCTCTGTGATCCTATCGAAGGCTGCGTGTAACTGCACAATGATCACAAACAGGTGTAACAAAGAATAATCGAATCGATGGAGGCTGTCCACGAAGACAGTGATATACACCACATCCACTAGGAGAAGCCTCCACTAAATATAGGATCTCCAATGTGCGTTCGGGCCTGATTGGAAATTTTTATTTCCATTGCTATCAGGTTCGTCCTCATTTCCTCTGTGCTGCGCTGACGAGTCCACAAAGGACGAAACAGTTCTGTCCGCAGATTGAGGATCTCCAATGCTATACTCAACGACTGTCTTCTGCAGTGTTTGGTGGAAGTTTATATATTTAGCAAGCATACTTGCCAACCCCTGGCAAACAGTTTCCTTGACACCGATGAGGATTTTCCTTGATTTTGCCCATTTTTCCTTGATCTGCACAAGCATTCGCAAATAGTTCAGAATGTACGACAAAAAATTACTTGTTTAAGCGTAACTGTTCTTGCTCGCTAGCTAAAGCTTCTTTGTGGGCACAGCACTTGTAGCTGCTAATGCTATGCTCGTGAGCGTGGAAAAACCGAAAATCATTTCGAAAATCCGTTAGATGTTATAACTTTTCCGGTATGCCGGGACGAAAGCGAGTTTTCCTTGATTTCCCCGGAAAATCCGGTAGGGTTGGCAAGTATGAGCAAGAGAAGCTAATACAACACATGGTTAGCTCATACTATGGTCACTATGAACTAATATAAACACATTTACCTGGTTTTTCAAAGCATCCACTCCGCCGGCGATACGATGTATAGTCAGTACTTCATTGTCGGTTCCAGCAGAATCCACTTCAGATTCTACATTTGTAATTTCTCCAGCAAAAGGACCAGGTGAACTGGCCTCCATCAGCACTATCAATCTCACAGACTGGCTGAGCTCTGAAACAGGATTAGCCGCTGTGCATGTGTACACACCGCTGTCACTCGCCTGGACATTGTCAATGCGTAAGTGGTGATTGTTCTTGAGAGACACACCTTCACGCTGTCTGACAGGCTGCCCATCATGCTCCCATGTCGTGTGTACAGCTGGTTGTCCGTGAGCAGAACATGGGATTTTTACAGTATCACCCACTGCTGCCCGAACTATATCTGGTTCGGCACGATGACGCCAAGATGGAGAAGCTGTCAACAAGCAGAAAACGCACAGGGATATTTCTTTCCAAACAGTACAATACGACATGAATGCAGGTTGGCCAATCGACATCCATTTTTTGTACTTTTAGATCTAAACTTCCGTACTGTCGAGTGTGTGTGTGTGTGTGTGTGTGTGTGTGTGTGTGTGTGTGTGTGCGCGCGCGTGCAGAGAGAGAGAGAGAGTGTGTGTGTGTGTGAGTGAGAGAGAGAGAGAGAGAGAGAGAGAGAGAGAGAGAGAGAGAGAGAGAGAGAGAGAGAGAGAGGGGAGAGAGTGAGTGAGGGAGAGAGAGAGAGAGAGAGAGAGAGAGAGAGAGAGAGAGAGAGAGAGAGAGAGAGAGTGAGTGAGAGACAGAGACAGAGATAAAGAGAGAGAGAGAGAGAGAGAGATCACTTACAGCAGCCTATCTGCTCCACAGTCAATGTCTTCAGTTGTTGGGGTGTTCCCTCGCGCGTACATGCCAAAGATACTGATGTTCCAGGGCGACGTGACAAGGCATGCAGAAAGCTGATGGAGTGCGTGCAGTGACATTGTACTGCGGATTGGCCAAGGTCACTGTACAAATGGAGCAAACAAAACATAACAGTGTGCATGTCACACAATGCATTACCATTGGTTAGATTATAAGTTCAAAGCAGCGCACGAAGCAGCCCTGTCAACAGGTCTGTGGGATACATCCCGTTGGATTGGCTTTCACATCCTGAGCTTGAAAATATTGCCCTGAATCAATGTACTTGGAAATATTCCCTCTAAACATGACAGTACCATGGCCGGGAAAGAATGCTTATAGCGTGACATTAAAACTTGAGAATTTGAGCTAAAAAACACATTATCACGATTTAAGTGAGAAGCAGCTGTGAATACACAGCCAAGGTACTGACTCAACTAATCCCCCCTGCCCTGATAGACACACATACAAATTATTCTCGAGCTCTACAGCAACCGAGATGCCCGTATGGCAGCATCAGAAGTGGTCTAAGACCCCATCGCTGCAGCTTTAATTCTTTGCTATCACAAAGCAGCATAAAAAGTTAACTTGAGCACATCACCAGCTCTACATATGTATCTACATTACACACACTTGAGAGGGATATCTACATTACACACACTTGAGAGGGATATCTACATTACACACACTTGAGAGGGATATCTACATTACACACACTTGAGAGGGATATCTACATTACACACACTTGAGAGGGATATCTACATTACACACACTTGAGAGGGATATCTACATTACACACACTTGAGAGGGATATCTACATTACACACACTTGAGAGGGATATCTACATTACACACACTTGAGAGGGATATCTACATTACACACACTTGAGAGGGATATCTACATTACACACACTTGAGAGGGATGTCTACATTACACACACTTGAGAGGGATATCTACATTACACACACTTGAGAGGGATATCTACATTACACACACTTGAGAGGGATATCTACATTACACACACTTGAGAGGGATATCTACATTACACACACTTGAGAGGGATGTCTACATTACACACACTTGAGAGGGATATCTACATTACACACACTTGAGAGGGATATCTACATTACACACACTTGAGAGGGATATCTACATTACACACACTTGAGAGGGATATCTACATTACACACACTTGAGAGGGATATCTACATTACACACACTTGAGAGGGATATCTACATTACACACACTTGAGAGGGATATCTACATTACACACACTTGAGAGGGATGTCTACATTACACACACTTGAGAGGGATATCTACATTACACACACTTGAGAGGGATATCTACATTACACACACTTGAGAGGGATATCTACATTACACACACTTGAGAGGGATATCTACATTACACACACTTGAGAGGGATATCTACATTACACACACTTGAGAGGGATATCTACATTACACACACTTGAGAGGGATATTGGAAAGGCTTCCTGTCTGAAGCCTTTCCATACTGGTACTCGATGTTCCAGTTTTGTGACACGAGAATGGCACGAGAATTAGTGTACCGCTGAGTGTACCGCTATACACGTGGTCGACACGTAGTCGACACGTTGTTGATACTTTTGTGACACGTACGTGACCCCGTCAACGGTCTGCTTTGTGCCAATGCCACTCGGTAAACGCCGATGTCGCGTACGACAAAGACGACTATCCCGTACGCGAAATAGTTGAGAACTGCATGACGTGGACCTGACGGCAAGGACAACTGCGAGGAGGCCCCTTTCGGTACCCCTGACGGGAAGGAGAACTGCAGAAGTCGACGAAGTCGAAGGAGGAGGCCCCTTTTCCGTACCCCATATTGCAAAGTGCCATTGATGGATACCTTTTGCACCTGGAACGACCCCTTAAACGCTGTCGCGGCGACTATCCCGTACGCGAAATAGTTGAGAACTGCTGACGTGGACCTTTTGCACCTGGAACGGCCCCGTAAACGCTGCCGTGTCGGCGGAGTGAATGTGCAGGGTACTAGGGTGAAAAGAATTGCTGCAAAGACGTCCCCTCTACTAGGCTCTAGGCCTTTGCCTTTGGAGACATCGTCGGCGAACTGAATGCGCAGGGCGAAAAGAATTGCTGCAAAGACGTCCGCTCTAGGCCTTTGCCTTTGGAGACATCGTGGGAACTCCTTCCGGTACTATACAAACTGCTGACGTGGCCGTGGACATGTACATGGAGAGTCATGGTGGGACTTCATGTACATGGATACATGCCCGTAACATGGTGGGAATTCCTTCCGGCACCCCCGTACCGCAAAGCCAACGGTGGGGAAGGAGAAGTGCAGACGTGCAGGAAGACGAACGAGGAGGAACCAGGACGAGCGAGCAATGGCAGGACTAGCTGGACCGTAAGTAATAGCTGAATTGTGCATGACAACTTGACATCCATGCGGCACTCGCCACTTGCCACTGCATATTTCTTGTCCACTAACAATGTCTCTCCTCTGCCCCCTGTGTGTCCACGGCCCTGTTTCTGAATTGGCCCGATGAATCGAATGTCTTCCGCAACTGGAACGGCCCCGTGAACGCTGTCGCGTCGGCGACTGAATGCGCAGGAGGGAAAATATTGCTGCGAAGACGTCTCCTCTAGACGACGGTAAGGCATCCCATTGATATGTTGCTAGTGTGTGCCAGGGTATCGCGCGATGGTGAATGAGGAATGATGAAGGGTACGGTGGGACTGTAGACCTGTTACCTTCTACTAAGGCTGTGTTTACATGAGGCGTTTCAACCCGGGTTGAGTTCGACCCGGGTCAGATTTCAACCCGCCATGTGCACAAAGTGAATGGCGCGTTTACATGACGCATTGCGCTTGACCCGGGTTGAAATTTCGCCCCGGGTTGAAACCAACCCGGGTCAAGAAAATCGTACAAACGTACTTCTGTGCGTATCTCGCGCCAGGTTTGAACAGCACTGCAGATGCAAATTTCGCGCGAACGGATTCACGTGACCATGCACGACTGTAGAAGTGGACTTTTGGCGGCATATCAGTATTTGACCCGGGTCAACTGTCTTCATGTAAACGCTCACCTCTTTTGTTTGTCGTACAGACTTTCAACCCGGGCTGAACTCGACCCGGGTTGAAATTTCTCTTGTAAACACAGCCTAACACGTTATCAGGTGGAGAGTGTCTTGTACTCACGTTATCAGGTCGAGAGCGTATTGTAGTCACTCTCTCTATTCCTGTACTTCATTACGTTTAAGGTGTACGTATAACTTCTCAAAAAATTTAATTAATGGTCTACAGTGTCGGAAGGGTACGGTGGGACTGTAGACATGTTACCTTCTAACACGTTATCAGGTGGACAGTGTCTTGTACTCACGTTATCACTATTATCAGGTCGAGAGCGTATTGTAGTCACTCTCTCTATTCCTGTACTTCATTACGTTTCAGGTGTACGTATAACTTTTCCAAAAAATTTAATGGTTGACGTCTTCAGATAGAGAGCGTATTGCACCCACTGTCTAGTCTCTGTAGTGCATTGAGATTTTGTTGATCGAACATGAAATGGATACACAGACAAAGCCAGGCCAAGTACATGGCGAGATGTCGCCAGAAGAACGTCTTCAGGTAGAGAGCGTATTGCACCCACTGTCTAGTCAATTTTGTGGATCGCACATGAAATGGATACACAGACAAAGCAGGCCAAGTACATGAGAGAGTGGACGATGTGCAGATCGACACGGCCTGCGGGTACTTCATTAAAGTTACCCGTGACATTACTAGGATAAAAGTTAATCACTGCAAAAACATTGCCAAGTATGTGAGCACTTTGGACTTGACAGAAGAGTGCACGGGCGACGTTGACAAAACATGCCGCGGTGACTGTCACTATCATGACAGCAGGGCACATCGCACGCAGCATCGCAGATCGTGTGGAATTGCGCATCATAATAATTATTGCAAAATTGCTCCTGTGCATGCAAGTGGATTTCATTGCACTTCTCAGTTTGGGAAATGCTCGATTATGACAATTCTCCGTGTGAGTGCACTAGCCCTGAACAGACATGTAGGTGAACCGTTTGTGGTGTCTCATAGCCTACCTCACGACCTTCTGCTTTCTTTCTTCATCACTTGTATCTTGCAGGTATATCATCCCGTGACGACCACATTGAAGTCTGAATTTGAAGTGTGAAGATGCTTCAGCAACCACATCGTACTTTTCCATTGCTTTCATTGTGCTTCTACTGTGCATGTGTGTAACTTGTGGGGTAAACATGTGATGACATTGTGTGCTGGCGACACGGTCAGATGTTCATGCGTCTAACGTACACCTGCATGTTATGCATTGAAAAGGGTTTGCCACTTGCGATCCTGGGACGAGTATCAGGTCCGCTTTGTCCTGTGTGGGCTGTATCAGATTGCTGTTCACTTCTCTATCTGTTGGATATGTGACTTTCTGCAAGTTTCTGGTGTATGATGGCCACGTCCTTGCTTGTCACTTTGTATGATATTACATTCTGTATTCGCTGCTTCCATGGCATGGTCTGCAAACTGCAATCCTTGGGCAAATGTCATGTTTGCTATGTTGTGCTTTGGCCGTCAGCTTGTCTACACGCTGTAGTTGAATTATTTTTGTTTCACAACTGACTTCCTCAAGTACGGTGGCCACTGCTTTGCATGGCATTATACATGAAGAATTTCCTGTTTGTGTCGTGTGCATGTGCGTATGTGTGCGTGGCCACGTGTGTGTGCCGTGTGCATACACATGTTTGTGTATCTGTGTGCGGGGTAGCGAGGCGGGGAGGGCTGGTATGTATCAGTGTGTTATTGCAGTCGCATGGCTACATACAGTACGTCGCGCGCGTGGTCATCATGTTTACCTTCGGGGTTGGGGTGGGGAGGGAACGGAAAAAGAGCTGAAATTATCCATATAAAAATCGCTCTGTGAGCGGTTCTGAAAAACCTTTACTGGTACTGCCCTGTCGTAAAAGTAAGAAATTAGAACTGGCCCATTGTCCCCCCAAATGCGAACTGATCCACCTAAATCGCGAATGACGGGACCCGAACGCACCAGTAGCACGAGGTTCCTACCTGTGGATGCAGATGGGGACGTTGGTCCGGACCATAGGCCATGTACTGTACTAGCGGTAGGCTTCCCTTTCAAAATAATAAATTCTACTACTACTACTGGTGTTACCCTATGATCCGTGATCCTGTGCCCTCCCGACCTCGTGCTACTGGTGCGTTCGGGTCCCGTCATTCGCGATTTAGGTGGATCAGTTCGCATTTGGGGGGACAATGGGCCAGTTCTAATTTCTTACTTTTACGACAGGGCAGTACCAGTAAAGGTTTTTCAGAACCGCTCACAGAGCGATTTTTATATGGATAATCTACATTACACACACTTGAGAGGGATATCTACATTACACACACTTGAGAGGGATATCTACATTACACACACTTGAGAGGGATATCTACATTACACACACGTGAGAGGGATATCTACATTACACACACTTGAGAGGGATATCTACATTACACACACTTGAGAGGGATATCTACATTACACACACGTGAGAGGGATATCTACATTACACACACTTGAGAGGGATATCTACATTACACACACTTGAGAGGGATATCTACATTACACACACTTGAGAGGGATATCTACATTACACACACTTGAGAGGGATATCTACATTACACACACGTGAGAGGGATATCTACATTACACACACGTGAGAGGGATATCTACATTACACACACTTGAGAGGGATATCTACATTACACACACTTGAGAGGGATGAAAAGCGTTTCTTCTGTAACTCTGAGTTTCACGGTTTTAACCGATCATCAGACAGCAACTGACAGCTTTTCATCCCTCTCAAGTGTGTGTACTAGGCTCTGCACCTTGGTGCATTGAGCACTCTCACGAGCAACCACAACTCCCTCCGAGTATGTATCTACACTACATGACCATGTTTTGTGATATTTCGGAATCGTTGCGATGTGCCGCATGATTAGCGTCAAAAAAGATCATTGGCAAGAGCAGAGACGGTGTACAACTCCACTCAGTTTGGCCAGCAGTCAATCATGCACAGAGGTGGAGCTCACAATTCGGAAAACTAATTTGTTGCATCCCAAGTTTTGTAAACACCAGCGTGTCACCACCATCTGTGTTGTCCAAAACCACGAGCGAAAAACCTGACCGGACGTGAAATGTAAGTTTATTATGTAAGTTTTCCATATGATGCAAAGCCCACCCTTGTGCCCCGCAAGTATCCACGCAGTGCAGGTCTTGAAAGAAGTTGTGGGTGAACATTCAAGGTGACTGGATACACCACAAGTTCCGCCCATACACATACACATACATAATCGTCAGGCGAAATCGCACGTCATAGTACATTTGAGATCAGCGGGAAGAAGATGACGACGTCTACTAATTTAGTATCTGTGCACACGAATCTGCTGTGTGTGTGACTCGGTGTGTCAGCTATGATATCATCTTCTGTGGTTCCATGCCTAGCATGTACGTCTGAACCATCCTGCAAAGTTTGAATGACGTAGGTTGAGCGATCGCTCCGCGAAACATACTTTTTGAAATTCTCTTCATAGTATATCTTCCACCATTGAAATTTCGAATTTCTTCAAAAAAAGTGCTGAGAGGGGTGGCTTGCAACCTCGATATGGCTTGTTCCAGGCATGCTTTGGAGCCATCTTCTGTTGAAGTAGTGGCGGGGATCTGCCCTGCAACTGCTACAACAAAAAATGATTCGATCTGAGAAAGGGTGAGACCGCGAATCTCGGTTGAATATTGAGTATTTCAAGCCTTTTCACGACGAAGATGGAGTTCTTTTTGGAGATGGACGTCGCGGCAAAGGACATGGTGTCCGAATTCTGGCGTCTGGTGAAGCCAGGGATCATTTGTCCAGTCAGGTCGGCAGCCTAAGCGTCGGTAAGCTTGTGTTTGGATCCCGTTCTGCTCGATGTGGTAGATCACAAACAATTTGATATCGCACAAATTGATCTCAGCATCGTGCGTACGGTATTTTATATTCAGAAAATCCCAAAGTGTCTTTGTGTGGCCGTCCTATGCCACGAGAAACTCCAATCAGGCTCCTATGTCCTCTGCCTTCATGATTGAATGTCCACTTCATTTGAACAACGAACACAACAATCGAGGACGGCTTTGCAATGAAAAATACAGCTATACTGGAGCTGAAAAAAAGAAGAAAAAAACGTGCTCAGGATGAGACTCGAGTACACGCATACTCTCCCCGCAGGTGAAACGCAAATTTTTGTGAAAAATGCGTGTCGCCGACTGACCAGTAATTTCGCCTGACATATACACATACACATGCAAATTCATTCACCGTATTAAGCTTCAACTTGCTCCTCCTCATGCACTTGCGCATTTAAGCTGGTTCAATAATAGCTCGCGTACTAGATGTTCTCTCCATTTCCCACTTGCCAGGTCATCGATCCTTTTAAAATCCCCTCTGTTCAAGTCCTATTCTCATTGGTCTCGGCTTCCGCAGGAGGTAAAGTCTCGTGACACCTTCGCTGCATTTTGTTCCATTCTGCCCGCGCCTAAGTTGAATTGAATTGAATTCGTTGTTTTCCATTGCTAGCCTAATCTTCATACTGCTCTCTCCAGGTTCCTATAGTACTCCTTTTGTTTTGTTTTCTTTTCTCTTTTTCTTCTCCTCCTTTTTCTCAGTTGTCCCCACCATGGCTGGTTAAAATCGCCCGCATCACATGCTTATTGGCACTATGTCATCGTGATTGTGAAATAATAATAATAATAATACACATACTTAGGCCAAAGGAGACCAAGCTTCAGTAATCCTTCAGGATACCACACTGGTGTACTTACACGTTTTGAAGCAGGTTCAGGTTGCCAAACACACCTTCATCAGCAATTGCTTCCACATTTCCACCAGATATTGACCTACGAGACAGGCAACAACAGCATCATGTACAATGTCATGTTTACTATGATAATTTGTAAGCTCCAGAACAGTCTTATGTTAATGAATGCACTTGACCAACCTCCTACAGTCCTAGTCAGCTATGCAGTACATGTCAGTGCCCCTAACAGCTAAGTAGTCCTGATCAAATCCAGAATGAAGATGGTGAGGGTTCTTTGGTGGCAGTTGAACTGTCATGCAGAAATGGAGCCTAACAGCAGCAAACTGTATTTCATTGTGAGAACTCCATGATTACGTTCACTGTGGTCTTCCCCCCCCCCCCCCCCCACCACCACCCGGCACTGCTCATTACGATACTGTATAACGCAGTGCTTATGCACCACTGTTCATTGCTATACCGGTGGGGGAAATTCTCAAGTTCTGCTTCTGGATGTGCACATGCCGTGATTGAAATAAATAAGAGATGTGTGCAAGAGGAAATCTTACAAATGCTTCAAGTTGGGAATTGACTGAAACATTCCGGCAGATAGAGTTGAGACTTCATTGCTTGTGATAGTCCTTTGTGCAGAAATAAACACACACACATGCACACACACATGTACACACACACACACACACACACACACACACACACACACACACACACACACACACACACACACACACACACACACACACACACACACACACATGCAAACACGCAAACACACACACACATAATATGTGCTTGTGTTCATATATTATTACGAACACAAGCATGATTGCATGTGTTCACTGGCAGAAACATGTGTCTCCCAAGGAGATGGGAGATATGTTCAAAAGGAACAAATACCGTATTTTCCTAAGTATAAGCCGCATCCCCCATTTTTTGCCACGAAATACGTACATCTGCCCTATTTATCACCGTTAATTTGATCATCGGAGTATAAGCCGCAACCCAAGTGTTTTGGGAGAATTTTGAGTGTTCAAAATGTGGCTTATACTCCGGAAAATACGGTACACACATGTGCACAAATTCGCTCACAAGCAGAAACCGGTAACATGGGTTCGTTCCCCTCCCCCCCCAGGGAAGAACGATTCCAAAAGAACATTATACACACACACACACACACACACACACACACACACACACACACACAAGGGCTTGGTTAGGTAAAAATCACGATGCACCGATTATGTATTCCCCGCGTATTTCCAACGACAATATCTATGTAAATCTGCTCTCCTTCAGCACTAACACCTTGTTGCATTATTGCAACAGGACTAAGGATGAATGCCCATGCACACTCTCTCAGTCCAACACAACCATCACACTCCGGTAGGAATTACAAACTATACTTGATAAAGACAGGAGAAGTGGAGAACACAGGGAACAGAGTAGGCATGTAAACAGCACAGGCACGCAACAGTTACCGCTGGTTCATACGAGGTGCATGTGCGTACTTGAAGGTGTGAAATAGGAAGCGGGGTCAAATTACATATGGGTGCATTATGCCAAATATATAGGCACAGGTACCGTATTTTACTGGTTGTAAGTCGAGCCCGGTTATAGGTCGACCCCCGTATCCGGAGGTCTCAATTCTGCGTTTTAAAGTTTTCACCCACCAAAGCACTAACCACGCCCTGCTACGAACACATCAACAAATCATGTAAACATTCCTTATTGGAGGGTAAAACGTCCCAATCCTTGAAAAAGGCCAATAAACTGGCAAACATGTGTACACATGGTGCACTCATGCATGCAGGGCGGGTCATTTTGTGTAAGATTCTGATAATTCCCGGTTATAAGTCGAATCCCGGTTGTAAGTCTACCCCCACCCTTTCTCCTTCTATTTTTAGTCGTAAAAGGTCGACTTACAACCGGAAAAATACGGTATAGGTGACTGTGCACACTGACTACACACCTCTCCTTCAGCACTAACACCTCTCCTTCAGCACTAACACCCCCCCCCCCCCCACACACACACACACACCACCACCACCACCACAACCATCACCAGACACATTCATTCTTCCATAATCTGTGATACATACAATATGTACATATCACCTGGCACATACTTGATGTGTATGGGTCATAGAATAAAAAAAATCACGGTTCGCGTGAGACTCCGTTGAAGCCGAGTTTTCCGCATCCGCAGGACCCCACCACCCTTTCTGGATCAAGGCGCATATGCAGCTCCTAAAGCGGTGGGAGGTGAGTAGATCAGTCAGACCCACCACAAAGTGGCAAAGACCGAAAATCGCCATAGCCATAAGATAAGTAGCACACAGCCTCCTACATCAACTAATTACTTACTAGATCAGCATTAAGAACTGCAGCATTGGGCATTATGAAGTATGTACTTCGGAGTACATGTAGCACTACAGTAAAGTATGTATTGTAATGTAAAATAAAAATCATCCAACAACATGTACATGTACATGTATGTCAACTAAATACTTGTCAAGAGTACACCTAGTGATACTGGCTACACCTGCAAACCTGACACACACACACACACACATGTACGTGTACATGTACATCATCTTAGGCTATGGCCAGCAAGGCAGCATACCTACATACCAATATGACAAAGTGCTGTCAAGCCAATACTGGCAATGGCCTGGGATGCATGCATGTCTGAATGACCATGATGACCACAGACACAGGCACCTGACCAAAAAATGAATATTATTATAATTATTATTACCATATTACTGTTATGTAGCTGTACACCATTTTGCACAGCGCCCCTAGCCCCCCCCCCCCTAGGCCCTCTGCAGGAATACATTGCATACTGAGTAGCTGCCAAGTACAGTGTACAAGTGTCCCACATCCCTAACAATCTCATCAGCTTGACCACACTACCACTACTCGTACTACAGTACTTCGAAAATGTCAGTAGTAGTAGTAGTAGTGGTAGTAGTGGCATTCACAGGTGACACATAACAGCAGGGCTTCATCATTCCAGATCAATCTTTATACTGTGACCCGGATAGGAGAGTAACAGACTTGATATACCAGATGAGTACAGGCAGTAGGTGTCAGCTACACTCACTCATCAAACTCCAGGGGATCTGCAATCCCAACTATAAAATACCAGTGTGACCACCACGGCCTGGTATGGTGCAATGTGCCATGTGGTGAAATGGCATGTCATCTGAGAGTGAGACCAAGTGCGTCACTTGGCGGGGCACTTCACACATCAATAAATCAATGCTTCCGACATAGCAGCCCCGGCAGATAGCAGTGTCCTCTTGTGTTCTATCTCAAAAGCACAAGAATGGGCTACAAATGGGATAAACTGGATACTCATGGGACATGCTCACTGCAATCCACTCTGCTGTGCATGGGCATGTTCTCTGGTGGTCCTAGTAAAAGTAGTGGTAGACGATGCTGTGACACCACCACATGTGCACACCAGGAGGCAAGGTCACACGGCTTCCAGATAAGAATGGCAAACAGTCAATACTCACACAAGACACAAGACACAGTGTGGAAAGTAGCCACCGTACATACAGGTACTGCTCTGCTCTGCTCTGCACGGTACCAGTACCAGTACCAGTACTTGTACTTGTGAACAATACACTGTAGACACTCTCCAGATTCTCCCCAGATTGTGTGATAATCTACAGAACTGAGCTTGGTCCCTCCTTTGGTCCCTCCTTTGGTCCCTCCATTTCAGAGGTGGTAGGTCTTCCTTTTCTCATCCCAAAAACCCTTTCCCTTCGGATGCCCTTCCCCTCACTATTACTTGTGGATTTGAAAGAGTACTTTCCCAGTGTGGGGGAGGGGGAGGGGAGGGCAACTGGTTCCTGGCATACTTGGCAACCAGGTACAGTAATTGCAAAAATGATTTCAATGCACGGCTAATGCAAAGCTAATAGTCCTAAGCATGCAGAGTCATGGGTAGATATACATGAACCACTCTCAATGCACACCGAGGGGCCTATGTTCCTGTTTCCTATCTTAGACTAGATCAATACACGACACAGCGCTCTCTAAATAATTACACCAGCATACTGTACCAAGTTCAAAATACCCACATCAAGGAGCTGTTGATCTCTAGTCTAGCATACACAGTTCAGTGCTGTATTATCTTGCAAGGCGGTCTGGACTCACTGGCCCACACAGGATATAGTATAGCCGTTAAATTTGGATTTAGATGGATGTAGTGATCATGTATATTCATGTAATCGCTTTCTAGAAATCCATGAGAAACCATGTCTGCCGAAAACGGTCATGCTATTATGGCCTTTGGAAGATGCAGAATGAAAGTTCCTGCAGGCAAACAAAATATTACATGTAAATCCACTATCTGAGCCTGCTGAATTTGATCACTTGCATCAATGCTTCACTCCCCCTCACCCCCCCCCCCCCCCCCCTCCCTCTCAGCAGCTTCACTCACCATCACCTCCCTCTCAGCAGCTTCACTCACCCCCACCTCCCCCCCCCCCCCCTCCCTCCCTAGGCCCTCTCAGCAGAGCTGGTGACACATTTTGTGAACCCTACATAGTAGCAAATTCCAAAATAATGAATCCCAAAATTTATAATTTTAATACCAGGAGTTGTGCCACACCGGGTAGTGCCACAATAGATGCCGTCGATTTTTTCCGCCCAACGGCACACTATCTTTCGAGTCTGACTGGTACTCGTACAGTTCTTGCTGAACAGTACTAACTTTCACTCATGCAATCATTAGCAACAAGTATTTCCGAAATCTGACAGTTAGAAGTCATAGCCACCGGCTATCGTCGCATCGAATGGTCAACAGCTTTATTACTGCTTCTCTGTGTGCTTACTTACAGGGCTTGGACGAGCGAGCCAGTGTGGTCATCAAACGTCGGTATCCTTGAAGAACAGTGGACTCGAATAGCGCCACTGCCAGGCAATACGTCCGAGGTTGATTCACTGCAGCTGCATAGTTCAGGACAAGTGTACGCTACTGCACTGTCCGAGGATATCGCAACACAAGCAACGGTCGAAAGCAATGATAACAGATCCCGGAACATCATCGCGCCTGTGCGGATGAGCAAGGCGGGTGCTGCAACTGCAAGTGTTGCGGGCACTTGTGCAACACTAACTTACTGCTGCTTGTTTGTCCACAGACTCAGTCCTCTACTCGGCAAACAACCGATTTTAGTTTTTACTGTTTACAGTTTAGTTCATCTCCGGGTCTGAAAAGTCACACACGCTTACCATGCTTACTGCGCGCTAACTGCGCCGCGGATCGATGACACACACAGTGACACTTGTCGCAGCTGTATCCGCTGTGGCGACCCGCCCGCACCGCGTGCATACCGGCGGTATGTCTGCACGATGCTCAGTAGATCTAGTCATACATGTACATGTACAGTCATACTCATAGTCATACCATACTCATAGTCATTCTACACGTATCGGAGGGGGGGGGGGAAGAGAGATCGAAGTGCCGGTATCCATGGACCATGGTATCCTGGTATCCGCAAGCGCAGAACTCCCCGGCCCCCCTGGCCTGAGGCCAGGCCCGTATGTCACGTGACTGTCGCCTTGGAGTCGACCAATGGCAGATCAAACTGGGCGGGCTGGAAAGCGCGGTCCTTCCTGCTGAGCTACCGTGCTCACAGCAGTGACTTTTGTGTGTTGTGAAAGACTGGACCACAAAGACTGGTTCTACTGCCCGTCGACGTCGTCAAGTGACGACGGGCAGGAACGGAATCCACTGGACTGAGTCTTTGAGCTTCGCTTATTTGTTTCTCGCCGCTTGTTTCGTGAATACAAGGACGATAGGAAAGAGCGACGTGACTTGTAGTAGAAAGCCAACAAGAGTTACTTGAAGAAAAGCGACTGTTTGCAACCACAACTGTCATCATGGCGCTCTAAAATTTGGATTTGGAAGTTGGACATGCAGGAGAAAATCCTTGGTTGGACGATATTGGCGATGCGAGTGAGCTCCTCCAACAACCGTACTTGAACAAGTGGACGAATAGACAAACTGTTATTGCGGAGTCGCTAGCGAAGGAGATATTGGAAAAGCTGGATGAGCCTCAACCAAAGCATGCAATTCCTCAGCAACCTGCCTGGCCCGCGCGATTTGCCGATGAAGACCCAGGCCGGGGGAAATCCTCAGGAACAGAACGCCCCATCATGCCTTCATGGCCATACCCGGTCGACAATGCCCACTACGAAAAAGGCACTATCGTCGTAGATCGTATCGACTACTAGTAGTAGTATTACAAGAAAACAACCACAACACACAATGCATGACGATATGCACTTGTGCAGCATGTCATACTATACTATAGTACTGGCATGGTGTGCATGTCATGTACAATTTTATTATGATTGTACCAGTATCTCTTTGCAAATCACTCATTATCTGATCGTACCGCTGTTCACCCAGTAATAGCAGTATACATGGTATATCCCGGCTAGCTCGGAGGGGGGGATTCCGCGGCTCGTACTCGTGTATGCAGGAACCTGCACATGAGTGTGTAGTACACTGCATGTAGTGATGTACTGAGCCATGTCATGGATTGACCCGTCTTCTTGGGTTTGGCGACCTGATCACCATGATCACCTGGACCACAAGGCTATTCTGTCCTGATGACGATGTGTTGCATGTCGACGGACCAGAATTTGATGTACAGTCGACTAGTCGTCGCCAAAAAAATCCGGCCAAATGCAATGCTAGCTACCGGTAGCTGTACTGGGCCGCATGCACTGTGCCATACTTCATAGACGTAGTGGTAGTGGTACTGGTAGACCGGGTCTGCAGTTACTTCACTGTTCACATGCTGACAGGCTAGTAGGCCCGCATACAGGCGACAACGGCTTTGGCTTGACAGGTCAGCCAAATAATTTATGGCCCAAATTATGCAAATCTATCATCAGCGTTGATTGTTCACTCGAAATATGTTTGTGGAAGGAAACTGGCATGTTGAAGTTTGCTCTGAGGCCAGAGTCAATCGAACTGAGCCACTCCTTTGTGTTGACCGCCTCCAAGTTGCCCAATTTTTCGCTTCAAATCAGAGGTGGCTCCAAATCGGAAAGGTTTTAGAGTGCACGTCAAATTCACTCTATTAGTCTGAAATTAGGTAAATGCTATCGCTCCACGACGGCCAGTACAGAGTAACAATAAGCCTTGTGTGTGCTTCTCCATTAGTTTTGATTGGTATGCGGTGCTTTATTGGCGAGAGGCGAGCCGCTGTTTACCTGCGACAAGAAGTTGATTTTTCGAAAGTCGTAAAACTCAAGTCGCAGTGCGAAGCAACACGTCAAAAACTCACCTGCTTGATATGGCGCTTCGGGTCATCGCAGAGCCATGAAATTTTGGCTCGGAGTATAAGTGTAACACATCGTAGTCTCACTGTGACATATGTTTTCTAATCAAAATACCAAGAGAGAAATTGTAGACTAGACTAGAGTCTAGACTCTAGTGCATGTGCCACTCCACTCGCCAGTGCATGATATATGAACCCGCGATGAAGTACCGCGTAGATCGATCTACCTACCATACCTATGTACGCGTATACTTGGCATTGGCCGGATTTTTTTGGCGACGACTGTGTACATGACTGTATACATAATATTATCATAATTATCATGTCCATGTATGTAGAGTGGAATGTTGGAAAATTTGGGCATGAACCTGGGGCATTCTCTCCTTTTGGGGATTTCGGCTTTCGTGCATGTGAATGACGTCACTTTCATGCACCCCAATTATGCATTAGCGCAGCATTCAAGCTTTATGCATTAGCCTTTGGTTGCTCGGCCCTCATGCATGATCAGCTGGCCTAATTATGCATGCCCCATCCCCAGCATGCATTCCAATGGCAATGAATAATCCGTCACCGTTGATGTCATTATTCATGAGCCAATCGTTCCCAATAGGGCTTGAAAGTGATGACGTCAAAACGGCCAGGGAGTAGTAAGTTGTCATCAGATTTCTATTTTTGGATCCACTAAGGTGTGACTTTGCTATTGCCTAAGTATGTGGGTGCATAGCAACCCACTCATGTCGCATGCAGGTGTGACTTTTATTTCGCCACCAGTTGTAACCCCGCCCCCAGTAGCCAAATCAGTCAGTTTCGCTGGTTACATCACCTTGCTGTGAGTAAGACGGCTTGAAATGTGCTTGGATCCATACAAAAACTGGATCCAAGTGGATCCAATTTTTGAATTTTTGAAATTGTTGCTATGCTGTGACGTAGCACTTTCAAGCCCTATAGGGAAACCACCGCCACACACACAGCCAGAGCCAAATGGAATGAAGTCCATCAGGATCACCCAGCTGGCAGCATGCGCACAACCATTCTTTCTGCAGAGCCATCGGTGATCCTGAAAGAGTTCATCCCTAAAACGAAGGCAGCAAAATGCAGGCATACCTACTCTGCCAGTCCAACAATCGTAATAGCCAGCAATATACAGAAACATGCAGAACCCATCCCCTCCCAGGGTGACAGGTGTTCTGTTCAAGCCCACATCCCCCGACCAAAATAATAATTCCCAGGACGGGGATTGCTGGCGATGGCAGGCTTGGGTCGCTCCTTGACCTGGCATCCGATGTGCAAGACCGTACCAAAGGGTATGGTCAGCAGCATTGACATTTCTTGGAGGCTGAAATGCTGATAGTTTCCTATGAGGATACATGTAGGCGAATGAAGAAAACAGAACAAAAGCGAAGCGCAAGGTAGGAACAAGAAATACAACTGGGGATGGTTCAATTTCCCACCCAAACACTGTAAATGTATGTCCGACAGAAAACACTCAACTGCCAAGCAAACTACGGTGAGCTACAATTCAAACGGAAGCATGCAGTTGTACATCGACCACTCTGACCAGTAGTCAAGATTCTTCTGTGACACTTACAACTCTCAGACTCTGGAATGTCACCCCAAGGTAGGACATCGGGTGGAATTGTCAAGCTAACTACGGAGAGCTACAATTCTCAGAATCCGGGACGCCACCTAAAGGTAGAACGTTAGCATGCTGGTAAACAACTTGCACTTGAAACCGTGCAAGGTTCAAGGGGCTTAGACCCACTGTAATCACCCCTATGCTACAACAGATCTTTACAGAGCATGGCATATGGTTTACCTTGCACAGCTCCGGCGACACCTTGAAGTCCTCCGTCCACGACGCTTGACCTGGGCTGGGGAGAAGAAACACACAGGAGATAGAAAACCGATGAACCTGTACTACAATATCAGTACCCTAACTACCCACCCACGGGGATTGTCAAAGCATGCAGACAACACCACTGAGTAATAAAGACTATGCATGTGGGAGCAGGCAGGGTTACATGCAACATGACACTACCCAGGGTGGATGAAAACAGTCAAGCATACATTGCTGTTCAACCCAACTCCCTGAATGCAGAGGGACCTACTGGGGACAGGGTTGGGATAGAAAATCATGCAGAATGCCAACTACACTCATAACAGACCAGTGCAAAAAGTTATGGCTGAAGATCTAATGACTTGGTAGGTAATGAAGTTCAGGTTGAGAGCAAATTTGTTTTTCGTCTGGGAGAAAATGAAATGGAGAAGACCTTTTGCACTGGTCTATTGATGCATGCAACATGCACAGCCAAGAGATACTTAGACTGTTTGTGACGACGGTGATGTTCGTAGCGCTCGTCATCCATCTTCACACTGGGCTTGACGGACTACAGGGAGGCATAAGAGCAAACAAATCATTTTAGACAGCAGCCCAAAAAATGCAAATAATACAAGCAATAATGAATAGAATGAATGCAAAGTATTCTACCCTCATCCCCTTTCCGCAAACACTTCCAACAGGAAAAAGAAAAGGAACTGAATTGTGTTTCGGAAGGTATAAAATTGTGCTTTTCATGCAAATTCTCTGCAAGCGTCATGAAAGCACAACGGAAATTATCCTTGTTTGATAATTTTTTTCACATGTAACTGCTCGAGAGGTAGTGATAGCTTCTCCAAAGTGGAAAACGTTCAGAAAATGGAAGTGTTTGCGGAAAAGGAACACACTAGGCAACTCCCCTCCCCAGCCAGTGTGAAATTGAGTGCTGCTGCACAGGAGAAGATTTTGAACAAACTGACCAGCAGTGTGTGCAGAAATTTGTAGACATGCATAGGTAGAAATGTCCTGCAGTCCAAATCTCGTCCACTCTGCCTCTGTCACGCAACGAGCGGTGGACAAAGTGAAAGGACTTCT